TCGAATCAAATATTGTTCGTGCTGTTGTTTAAAGGAAAAGAATGGTAAATGTTTTGTTGTCGTTTGCCATATTAATCCGATTTTGTTATACTTATTCTAAGTTAAGTGTAATTTCATGAGAAATCCGTAATGAGTCGTAAGAGGCGACTAACGGGATCGGGTGGTCAGCCTCGCTGACTTGGTTGATGCATGTCATCGGTCCCAATAGATATCAATCTCACTGGGTTGTCTGGTCCAGACTCGATTATTTGCAGACCACCGTCATATAGCTGGAACATTGCTGAGTGCGGCGTTAAAGAACAAACAAACAAACATCACTTAAATGTGGGATTTCTCCCCACATCAAGCTGACAAGCCGTGATATAATTGAAATACGGTTCAACGCGGCGTTCAACCAAATGCACTCCCTCATGATGACTCAAACGTGACGAGACGCAATTTAAAAGAAATTTTTTGAAACATTACGAATACGTTTTTTTTTATTGGAATTCGTTGTATCTGTTCGATTATCTTTGATGTTTATGCAGTCTAACTATAAGGTGAAAGGAGGGAAAAAACAAAAATACGAAAAATAACTTTTCATAAAATCTAATTCTTGGTTTGGAATCATAATAAAATCTCGTTAAATATGTTTTGGTCACAGGTTTCATATTATCTTTTCATTGCCTCTTTTTATTGCGCATCATGTATATACGCACACCAACACAATCACGGAATTATTTATTGAGCGCAATGAGGCAGAGATTACATAACAAATCAATTTGTACAATCCGACTGCAGACGGAATAATACGAGAAGCAGCAAGTGCGTGAATGTATCATTGTCTTTCATTGGATACTATTTATAGCCTATCCAATCAAAATATTTGTCTTATACATGCTCTGTCCCGTGGGAGATAACTCAACGGAAGGTCAACATCTGACTCAGTCCAGTTTATTGACCGATTTGAGGATATTTACGTGTGTTGTAAAAAATTGGAAGTTAGTTATCAGTAAATGGTAATTGTATCTATTGGCAATACAAAGAAGAAGTCGTCCTCGTGTGTGGATGGGAGTCAAACAGGAAAATTCGCCAGGTGTGTAAGCTAGACCACTAAGCAGTATGGCAGTGTGGTCCACTCAGCTGCTATACAGTCTGAGATAATAATATTAGCTATGTTTGACACGCTGTGTTTGCATGAATTTTTAATCGAAAGTGCGGGGAAATAAAGCAGTATTTAAGTTACAGGGAAAGTCATTAAATACTGCTGTCGTTATTTCTCACCTATTATTTTAGTGACCATTGCATATTGTGCCTAATGTTATGTTGTAAGACTTGTCAGAAACAACTCGTAGAAAAATCAATGACAGTGAGTCAGAAGAGTGACTTGTATTAAAAAAGTTTTCTGAATGTGTTCGAATATGATTACACGTGGAGAATACATGTGTACTATTTAATAACACATTCAAATTAGTATTACCAATCAGTTCCTTGACGGGGAGAACCAGCTGTTCCTTCTGTTCATCACTCCATCCTAGTCTGACTTTGTCCAGATGGAGTCTCAGAGCTTGTGTTTGAGTTGCACACTGAAGGTCAAATGGCCCATCACCTTTGAAACCCATAAACATACCTCACATGACATGTTGTGATCATTGTTGTGACTTGCATCTAACTACCATGTCTACAGACACACGGGGCAGTTGTGTAGCCTAGTGGTTAATGTGTTTGCTCGTCATGTTGAAGACCTGGTTTCGATTACTCACATGGGTACTATGTGTGAAGCCCATTTCTGGTGTCCTCCGCAGTGATATTGCTGGAATATTGCTAAAAGCGGGGTAAAACCATACTCACTCACTCACTCACTCACTCACTCACTCACTCACTCACTCACTCACTCCGTACAGACACACAACACACTTGATGTGAACACTGTTTGTTTAGGATAGATGTAGATACATTTTTCATCATTAAAGGCAAGTGATGATATATGACATCAAAAAACATATGAGGCTTAGATTCTATTTATCATTCAAAATCATTCTTCCAACTCTTTCAGTTTGTTAACTGTAGTAAACATGATAACAAGTGTCTTGGGAGTAGAAAGTACAGCTTGTCAGCTTCACTGGCAAATATATTAGTGATGGCATTTGATTGTAATGTTATTGTAAACGATGACATCACTATGGTCTGCAAAGCATTGTGATGCAATTCATTGATCTCACCCTAGTTATATCTCCTGTGGAAGCCTAGTTTGGGATGGTAAATCCCTGATGAGGATGATGAACATGTGTAATACTTCATAAGTATTCATAACCATACCTCATTAGTGTTATTGAGTCCAAATAAGCCTTGGTTGTAATCACTGGTCACTTTTCATTTATGTCATAAGTCACACCGTGATCCTTCACTGTGGATGATTCTACAGATTGTGACAGAGAATTCTATCCTCAAGTGCATATTGGTGATGCATCAGTGAATCATGACATCCCTATGGGGAAGTATGTGTAGAGCTTCATCAGCCGATCATGGTTGTGATGTCCGGATATGTCTGATCATGACCGCCAGTCTGTCAGCACTACACCCACTGATACCAATACTTGATGGGTTCACTGTACAATGCTGAACTGGTCAAGGGATTCACCATTGAATGTATGGGAGGGAGCGTGTGATGTTCATTACATTTACACATGGAATATATTTCCTGTCACCATGGTCACTGCTTAAAGAAGTTTGTCTAGGAACCTCAGCAGCCAGAAAGAAGGACCCACAACACGTTTGTCAGTAAAACCTGAGGCTAGATTGTGTTTTTCAAGTATTAACTGTAACAATATTCTATAATCATCAGGGGCACAGGTGGCCCAGTCGTCTAAGGCGCCACCTTTAGCTGTGCAAAGTTGCGTCCCTCAGGCACGCCAGAAACCTATGTTTGTGGGTTCGACTCCCGGTTCGCCCCAATTATGTTTCTAGGTTTGTCAGCACCCTACCCGTGTTCATGGGTTTCACCGAAGTGGTTCAAGTCTGATACCAGCATCACTTCGGGCTTTCCTCCCACTTTAAGCTGACACGGGGGGGTCGGGTAGCCTAGTGGTTAAAGCGTTCGCTCGTCACGCCGAAGACCCGGGTTCGATTCCCGACATGGGTACAATGTGTGAAGCCCATTTCTGGTGTCCCCCGCCGTGATATTGCTGGAATATTGCTAAAAGCGGCGTAAAACCATACACACACTTAAGCTGACACGCCGTGATATAACTGGAACACTGTTAAAAGCGGCGTTAAACCCAACTCACTCACTATAATCATCATGATCATGGTAACTTGTCTGATGTCAAGTAATTACTTTTATCATATAATGGGTAGGTTTCTCGGCAGGATAAAGCCAACGGATAAAAACGATATCCGTTGGGGTCATATGCGGATAGAGATGCAAATATCAAAGGTCAAGTATTGGACTACTTTCACTGTTTATAAACAAACTTATGGCGTCGCTCTCGTCATTCGTCGATCGAGTCAGATTTAACCATCGGGACTCTGGATAAACTACAGAGAATGTTGCCTCCATTATCAAAAGAACAGTCTAATATACTGAAAATCAGTGTCTTACTGTGACGTAGCTAAGGCATTTTATACGTTTTGGCAACTTTGGAGATATAAATTTCGACACAATTTTGCGAGGGCACGAGGGCTATCCAAGCGGCATCAGGAGCCATATCTGTGCTTGTAGACTACTGCGGCTTGAACCTTTCTCCACAAATTAAAATACTTGGATTTGGCCGAAATATGTTTGAATTGTTACCCTGTTTCGTTTTGTCACTGTGTGTACATCTGACTATACTTCTTAACGTTATGACAGGACAGACCGACTGTTTGCGTATATGTTGCTTCACCACTGTATAAGAAAGAGATTTCAGTTGGAACTATATTGGCTACTGTCACTGTCCGATTGACACATCACTTACCCTGTGACGTCATAAATATTAATGCCCGCATTCCAGGAAAACTCGCAATGTTTCGGTAATGTTTGTGAGAGAGGGAAAGCGATTTTGAAGCACAGAATTATTAAAGAATGACATTATATGATAAAGAGGTTATCACGCTTGTGTGTTTGGGGATGGTCAATATCCTGTATTAGGAATAAACACTATTTATTTAGCTCGCCAAGGCTCGCTAAATACAATGTTTATTCCTAATGCAGGATATTTACTATCCCCAAACACACTCGCGTGATAACCTCTATTTATCATGTTTATCCTGATTTGTAGGCCTGTATTGATTTGCCAATACCCACAGTATTATCTATACTTAGGTACACACGATACTTGAATCATCAGTTTGTGAGGTCGTGATACGCTTTAATTGGAATAGAAACTCATAATAATAGCAGAACTAGCATAGTGCCACCTGTAAGCATGGTAGACACAAGGACGTGGTAGCTGATCAGTTCAAACTGTTTTGTTGTTGTGGTTTACTATCTTATGGTTTTTGAGAAAACAATAAATAAATGTATGAAGAAAAAGGTTTCAGAGCCTTATTTCAGGGATTTCATCATTTCTTCTTATTTGATGTGGTTTTTCGTGATACCAGCAGTATCGTCCGGCCATATCCTTATGAATCATATTGCAAGATACCAGGCGGTACTCAGCTCTAGTGACTTGAGATTTTGTTATTTACTCATTATCAATTAGCAGTAGTCAGTATGTAAAGCAAAATACCTGTTAACGTGGTTGAACATGATAGTGTTAAGTGTCTTTGTGTTTAAATTGTATTGACCTATTTTTAGATATTATTGTTAACTGTTGGTTGAACACATAGCAAGTATAACTGTCTATTTCAAAACGTTTGATTATTTGACATCTGCCATGCTTGTAATTGATCAACAGTTGTCTGTGGCATGAATTGTGTACCTATCAGTCGAGTGATACTCAATCATTGGAGCCTGGCCATGCTGACATTTCAAAGTGTATTCTTGTGTCACTTGTATTTATTCAAAACATTACATAACTGATTACAACAATGTATTACAATTTACATATACTATATATAGACATCTGCTATTTAAATAGTCTTACTGTAATATTCAGATTCAGTAATTTAGAGAAAACAACCTCAAGGACAATCACTGATATAATTATTTCAATTGACAGCATCATTGACATTACCTCGGAAAGTATAACTAGATTGACAGTTTTAGCTTCACGTGACACAATGTATGCACACCTGGATACTCCTTGTTGAAACAAACAAGAAAACAACTCATCAGTATCTCATTATTGCCTAGTTATGTAAATATTGATCAGTGCTGTTACAGAGTTTAGATACACATCACAAGATAGTCACACAAATAACCATCATATGTAACACCAGTTCTCAGTTTATTTACCGGGAAGTCAAATAGCTGCTAAAATACACACATTTCGAAGTTTATAAGGCTAATTTTTAGTCTGTCATGCAGACCCTGAAACAAATATCCAATACAGCCCGTGGAAGTGTATAATAGTTTGTAAGTGTAGAGTGCTGTAGTATCAGGACAGTGTTGTAAGTTGCTAGGCTCCTTTTTTCATATTTTATTAGATAATTTAACCGCTGTTTTTTGTGTAAAAGTTTCAGGGACTAGATGTTAGTCTAGCTAATTTTGTGCAGGCTTGTAAATAATGATAAAGAAAAATGTTTAAACAAACAGTAAAATGATAACATTTTTAACAATTTGACCATGGTTAATGGAATGGTAACACTACAATTCTGACATTTTCTCAAAGAAAAGGAGGATCACAGATACGCCTTTCATTCAAGGCTGTGACATGTTCACACTCTACTGGTAATCATTAGTCAGAAACATGAGAGAGATGGCCGAGCATCTGAGGCATAGTCACTGTCACATGCTGTCTGTTTCTGCTGATTCAGAAAGAAATCACTTAAACTGATTTACTGGTATAGATCCATACATACAAGCTATAATTGTTCTGGAATGTAGACAGAAAGGAATGTTAAGCTGATATCAGGTACTCGAGAACCATCACATTTAGTAATTTTGTAGAGTTGAAATATTTGGCCTATTAATAATGTTAGGTAAATATGTTAAACAGAGGTAAACATTTTGATATATAACCTGTGTAAGAAACCATCCTCATTTATCATGTTGCACTAGTGTATCATGTCTGCAGTCTGCATGTATTATGCACCCGTGAAGATCCGGGGTAGAATAGGTCTTCAGCAACCCATGCTTGCCCGTCAGCGTATCCCAAATGCGTGGATCAATGCTCGTGATGACAGTCACTTGATTGTCGGGTCTAGACTTGATAATCTTCAGACTGACATCATATAGCTGGAATATTGCTGAGTGTGGTGTTAAACAACAAACAAACAAACACACAAACAAAACATGTATGTCTTGGACCCATATGCACCCACATAAATGTATCAAGGGCTCGTTCATATGTTGAAGGAAGATCTGATACGTTCAGGAGTGAGAGAAATTCTGTATTGATAAGAGAAATTGAGTTGATGATGTCATTTCCGAAATGTAGCAAAGGTGGCAGATGGATTCAGGGTATTTATCAAAATGGAATGAAGATATAGATACACTGGATAACATGGATGATACGAAGGATAATGAAGAGGGTATGGTATAACGAGTTAAAGTCTCACTAAGACATGATGGACTAGCATAGTTAGTATGGCTAGTGATGTTTGAATGAGGGGTCTGTAGTCTGTTTACCTGGGCTAAAGCCTTTACACATGGGCTAGATCTCAAGTACTACATTACATGAGGCTCATTGCGCAAATGGCATGCAATGTTTTTTCTCACCAATAGAAACAATGTATTTCGTGGGCTGTTTTCACATATCATCAAATCATTACTGATGATCCGTCAGATTCTGTGAGTTTTTGTAGCCTACATATTAGCAAGTCTGCCTGAACACTGAATGTTAAAATGATTAGAATTGTTTTTGATTGTGTGTTGACATGGTTACCATGGCTACTGTCAGTCTAAATAATTATATTGCAAGATATTGCGGTTGACAAATGGTTAATCAGGAAATTTGTATTTATAATGAAAGCACTATTCTAAGTCTCATACATTAAACATATTTAAGATGCGTTTTTTATACGCTTCACAATATTTCTTTCCTGTTTTCGCATAGGATCAGTCCAACGTCTCTTATATTGTCTAATGTTGTCTAATATTGTCTAATATGTGTCTAAAGGTCCTATGTTTGAATCTCATTTGTTTATGAAATTGTCACTCTATCGCTAGTTTGTTTTTGTTGTCAGTCCTGCACAGGTTTGCTTATGCTTGGTTCCTCCATTAACTGTGAATACATATATATGACACTTTTGCGGTGAAGTCACTATTTTTTACCAATGAACATGATGAATCAATCAGCTCTGACCATTGAGACTCAGATTACCTTGACAGTATTTTGCAAGTTAACATGTGCCATAGCCTTTTGGACTCTACACTTTACTTCATCAGCATCAGGCAACAGTATGATAGTATTTTCATTAATAGTATAGGGTGTGCAGAAAGCAGAAAGGACATAGGCAGGGTAGGGTCCATTTGACTTCCGTGTGTCATACTCGGCCTCATTTCATTACCTGACTAAAAATAGACAAGCGTAAAGCGACCGCATACTTTCATGGGTCATGAAGGGACATTCTCTATATTAACCTGTGGACTATAAACTTGTCCTTATATTGCCAGGTTTTTTATTGCAAGATATTGCATTAGTTAGATCAGTATTGTGATATGTGTTGCAATGTTGCAATGTTGCCATGAACATACTGCTGTTTTCTTCAACTTTCAAATGCCATTAATTGTAATAAAACCAAAATAGCACCAAATGTCAGCTTTTTCCCTCTTGATGGGAACATCACATAGTCAAGAGGCTCGGCTGCCATTACCGTTTGGCTCCAAATGAGAACTTTGAATTGTAGAGGTGCGAGATATTACTGGTATACCGGTTTACCACAATATGAAATACCAATAAATGAGTACCAATGAAAATACCAGTATATTGCGTTTTTCAAAATCATGCGTATCATCTTGTTGAAGAGTTCACACTTGCGTCAAATCAAATGGAAATTAAGAAATTAGCAACTTTTTCTTGTGGTCGAAACAGTAAAACTATTTGGGAGAGTTTCCTGTATATGATGTGGCTATTACGCAAGCTTTGTGACCATAGCAACATCCAACAAAATACAAAGTTGTCAAAAACATGCAGGGGGAGTTTTTGGGTTCAGGTTCATAACAAATTACTGATGAAAGCATGAAATATATTCAGGTACGTATCACAATACACGAATTATTATTGTAGTAAATTGCAATATGAAATTCAGGCCAATACCCATCACTATTGAATTGCAAAATAACTCAAAATCAGGAATAGTCTATACCGTTGTGCCCCTTCATTAAAGATGTCAACTTGTACACAAACCAACATGTTTCTTTAACAACTTTTTCCAGTGATGGGAATAAAAATAACAAACAGCAGACATTGTTGGGTACAGGGTATTCATTGCCGTGTTCTGTATTGACATTCAATAGACTATTCCAGATTTTTAGTTATTTTGCAATGCATCCTTGTCATTTGGAGCCAAACTGAGTAATGCTTACTCAAGGGAGGTAACACAGTGACAAACAGCGGTGTGTACTGGATGTTCCATACAGATTAGATGTGTGAGACAGATTTTTAATTATTTCATGATATTGACAAAACCCAATTATCCCATGTTTATGTATTTCCTTTTATACCCACCCATTTAGATCATATCACAAGGCCTATTGTTGAAGGTGTGTTTTGTAATTCAGTGATACCATGCAGCCCTGCTACCGACAATGGTTTGTATTGTGAATATGTAGAATGCATATTGTATGAGCTAAAACCACTCCCCTATCTTGTCACACTGTTAGTCTCCCGGCAGTGTGTACCTGTGAGTCATCCGTGTAGCAGAAGTTCAAAAAATTTCGCTCTTTATGAGATTACAATCACAATTCTGTTACTATCATGACCATAGTTGAATATCTCAGTGACCCTTAAATGTTACATATCAGACAATGTGTCGGTAAGATTTGTTACATTATGCCATGACATACTTCAAATACCTACTGATCATGTCATACCAGATACACTTCCCACAATAGTCTTGACCATGAAACTCTGTCAATATAAGCAGTATCATTCTATTCAAAAATAGGTCAGACAAAAATTAATATATCCACTAATCTCATTTTTATATGCTAATGTAATACTAATGTGACTGGGCCATAATTATTTACCATATGATAACTGTCTATTACCAAACATTCATGTGTAATGTGAATCACTTCCATCAATTTTTAGTGTTACCCATGCTTTAACCCATACTTGCCGTAAAAAGCGACTATGCTTGTCGTAAGAGACGACTAACGGGATCTGGTGGTCAGGCTAGCTGACTTGGTTGATGCATGTCATCGTATCCCAATTGCGTGGATCGATGCTCATGATGTCAATGACTGGATTGATTATTTACAGACCGCCATCATATAGCTTGAATATTGCTGAGTGCGGCATAAAACAACCAACCAACCAATCATGCTTAAACAGTGTTGAACAGTATATATTTTAGAATAAAATACATCATGTACATATATATCATTAGATGCCTCAGGCCCAACACTTTTGAAAATGTGCATGAAAATTAAATAATTTCTTTATCATGGCCTAATGGGAACAGCTACATGTATTATTTCAGCCAACTGGCTCAGCATGGAAACAATATTGGGGGTTATGTTCCATATTACAAACATGCAGAATTTGGCCTTGGGCTTGAACATGAATAATGTGCACTCCCATACTATTGTTGCATCTGGTTGGTGTAAGGCCAACTAAATACAACCTGTTTCTAACATTTGTGACTTATTATATCGGATGGCTGTAAGTAAAGAACATGAGGTGCAAGCTGTCACGTATGTTTAATTATCCTCCAGGCTGTGGTGAATCATTGAAGTAGGGCTTCAGTGTTTCAGACGTGCACTCGATCTTGATACATCAGCTTAATGAGGAAGTTATTTTGGAAATAAGGTATGACTACTCAGCGTATATTGTGTGCAGGGTTTTACGCGATTCTCATATATACCTCCAGTACACACAAATGTTGAGACTGGATGCAGAAAAGGAATATACATGGACATAGAATGGACTTAACTCGTAATAGTAATCGTAATGGGAACTGGACTTTTAGCGTCAGTTAACGCTCTTGCCTCGGTATGCAGTTGTTATTGTCGATCTATGGATGATATATAAGCTTAGGGCTATCCATCATCAACCACAGCATATGGGATTATATTTTACACATACATATATTACCTCAATACCTGTAAAAATCATAGGGCAGGATTAGGAATTTGTACAGCCCTATTCCGCAGACTTGGTCAGTTATGTTATACTAGGGATAGGGGACGTGACCCAGGCTCCATGGCAACCTGAAGCACTTTTATACTGTTTAATAAAGTTTAATTGAAAATATTGGCACCGGTGTCCCAGTCATCAAAGGAACTGCAATTAGTAGTGCAGAGTTGCATCCCTTCAGCACGTCAGCACAACCCATCATAAACTGGACCATAGGTTGATTTTAAGTTGTATACAGAACAATAGATATTGCAGTCTTACATTTGAAAATGATACGGGTTAAGAAAAGTGTTTAACCATGCTCCTCAGAAATGGCGGACGGACATTTATGTTTATATATAGTTTTGTGTTTTTTGGTGGTGGGGGGAGAGAGGAGTGTCATTGACCCAAACCTCTGACATACCTGAGTCTAAAGCACTTACCAGGTTGCATGGTTGATCATTATACATGTACTTGACAAAAACATCCAAAAACAAAACACTGCTAAACCAAATATTCCCCGCAGTATAACCTGTAACCCACTCCATCCATTATACCTATGAATACTTCCATCCTCCTTGACCGGCCAGCTTAAACAGTGTGATACAATACTGGACAATGGGCACCTGAGCGACTGAGTTCATGAAAGACTAGGTCAACCGTCCTGCTCTGCTTGTTTCCATGTCTACACTGAACATACATTATACCACCATCGTGCTTCACATTCCTGTCAGAGGTCAGGGGGTCAGACAACACAACCAGTCAGCCAAAATCTTGATTTTATGTGAGTTTTGAAATTCTTTGTCCAAAATCTTGCCAAACACTTGATCATGTTTCAGTGGCTTATGAACGTTCATGGCAAAATGTCAGATTTTCTCAAAGTAAGGTATTTGCAGCAAGTAGAAGGTGGAAGGAAGGAATGTGTTTTCGATTCAAGATGAGCCTTCTATTTTTTCATCAACATGTTCAAACAATAAATGAACAAAGAATATGTCAGATAACATGGCTGAGGTGCATTGGAAGTATGGCCAAATAAGTCAGACATGTTGAAATACTGTGTATTGACTTATTTTAAGAAATCAATACACATGATTTAATATGTCAATGTGTCGCAAATATTGAGCATTGTGTATACATGATATATGTAAGTCATGATCATGTGATAGCTGACATAATAAATAGAAAATATTTATGTATTTATATTACATTATGTAAACTTTAATAAGTGTAGTTTGTGACCTATATGACCAGTTTAGCAAATCATTTTTGTCAAACATGTCAATGCATACCTAGTATAAAATAGAAAAAGAAGAGAATACACACCCACACAAACCAAACTTGGCCCAACCTCAGGTAACTTTTTATTTTCGGCTTCATCACTGTTTTCACAAAGCCAGTATGTCAAGACGATTTCCTGCAAACAAGTCAATTACGCTTGATAAGCTTTCTGTGATAATGACATAATGTCCAGTCACTTTTACTGCTATAATCTGCATGAACTTATTATTAGAAAAAGTACTCAGCTTACGTGATTTGTACCAGCCTGATAAAGCATCCGGTGTGATTTGTGAAAATATTTTAGCAAACATTGTATTTTGTATAAGGAAATAAGATTGTGTGATAACATTTTAACAAGGCAAAGGACATGTAATAATAGCTTTAGAGATCCCAGCCTTGTACGTGCAGGAGTGCACATGCAGCCCACATTCCAGACACTTCCTTGCAACATGTGGGCACTCTGTCATTGAATAAGAAAGGACAAGTTTATCGATCTTTGTCAGCTGGCAAATTCTATTGATAGACCTAACCAATGTGGGGGTGGTGGACAAGAGTTATTCCCCTTTAACTGCTGTGTGTCGATGCCTAGATCTTGGTAAGAAACCTGATAGGTGGATGTACTTATATGCGGGATGAGGATGGAGGTGACAGGATCGGACATCCTGACTTGGTGGATTTGTTGACTTGACAAAGGCCTAATGGTAGTTGAAAAAACATCTCATCTTTGTAAGATAAACAAGGTTGGTATGAAACAGTTGGTTTAATGTAGCAGGGGTTGTGAAGGTTATAACATTTGTTATTGTCATTATTTTGTCACCTTGTGAGGAGAAAGACGTTTGTATGGATTGAACTTATTGTTGCAAATAATTTTGGTGTTTTTCAAGTTCAGGTCTATACTGGTAAAGAGGTATGATATTTAGATTTGTTTTTATAGGATCTGAGTATGCTAACTGTGTATGCTGACATTCAGATGGTTCTTACCATGCTTCCATATAAGCAGGCACTTTAATTCTGTTTACAGAGGTTTAACATATTCTCTTTCAGATATTCATTTCATTTTTTCCAATTTTTCAGATTGAAACTTGTTTTGTTTGTATCTTACTCAGTATTCTAGTATTGGGTACTATGATTTTTAAAACATGTCAAATCAGCCGTATGATGATTTATATATCAATATATATGTTACATGGTTAATATTATAAGATTATGTCTGTATGTGGTCATAATATATAAAGTGTAAAATAATACTCAGGAAATAACCCTGGTTAATTACCAATATAGGAAATAGTAGTTTGTTTATCTTATATATAAATAATTATATTCACATGTTGAAAAACCTTGTTTTCTTGTCTAACTGGAATGTATTGATTCTGACTTATCATACTTGTGGCAGGATAATTTTTGTAACACCAAATTTGAAAATGTCTAATTAAAGGTTTTTACCAAACCATAAAATTACAGATAATGACAAAGCTGACTGATATGTCCATAACAGGATACAATTGTATTTTGTCACCATGGTCTCTGGTGGTTAAAGCATTTGCTCATCACGTCAAGGACCCAGGCTCAGTTCACATGGGTACAATGTGTGAAGCCCATTTCTGGTGTCCCTCCACCCAAGATATTGCGGGAATATTGCTAAGAGCGGCATAAAACTATACTCACTCATCTTTTTGGGATCTCGAATTATTCACATAAATATTAAGAGATATGTTATTAACTTCCATACATTTCACAATCTGAAAGTCAATATTAATGCAAGAGTTTTCTCACGTTCAGTGTTTCCCTGTGTTGATCGTTATGTAACATCCATGTGTTATTGAGCCATGAAGTACATTGCAACCACTGTGTTTGGTTTGGCATGCCTGGTAAAACAGGTGGTATCTCCCTGGTGCTCGTTGACATTTATGTAATACCTTCTGCCGTGGGGTACTTCCACTCGTTTTATTCCATCATGTCTATGTAGGTTGGTAGTTCCAGATACATGTTTTATTCATAATGTTCCTGCTAATTCTGCTAATAGCATTACCGATAACAGAATGAAATTGACATACCTTGAGATGTGTTTCTGTTGCTTTGTTCCTTGTTGGTAGATGCTTTAACACACTAAAGATGATATTGACAACCCAGGGGCATTGTTAATGTCCTACTGTCAGACACCTGTCAATCACATCACCAGGTCATCTGGAAATGTACATTTGGGATCTTCATGACCATATAGTTAAGTTCACATTCTACAAAAGTATTCCAATTATCATGTTAATTTATAAGACATTTATGCACATACAATAATTCAGACGTAAGATATTAGTCAGCAAATGTTTGGCAAAATCACCAAATTTTGAAATTGATGCCCGAAGGGCAGTGTGGACAAGTAGAATATGAAATACTCCTATCTACTACATTATCGCTGCTGAATAATCTCAGATGTCAGGTCTTGACTTCTGCTGGACTAATAAATTGTTGCTGTATTTGACCTGAAGTGGCTCCTGTTGTTTTGAGTTCACAGCCCTAGATCAACAAGAAGACGGAAACACAATCTTAACATGTGCAATGTAAATATAGCTGTGTCAGATCCTGCCTGCATGAGGAGATGAAAGTGACAACATGTTGTGTTGTCGCTGTTGTGTTTTGAGATTCATATGTACACAACCATATGAAGATGGTGATGCTACTGAGAAACATGATTGAAGCTGTGTGGCTCTGTGTCTGAGGATGTTGGTGGATCTGTACCTTGGTGTTACTCTGATGGAAATGATGTTTTACTTGATCACAGGACATGGAGCTGGTTTAACATCTGTGTCAGTGTGTGGTGATTTATTAACACGATCAAGAAGTTGTGATATGATGGAATATGTGATTGGAAAAGAAGACATATTTAGTTTTTGGGGTGACTTGTGATATTTTGACCTTTGATCAATATACAACACCATGACATTTTTTAAGGTAGGAACAACCTTTGGTCTATTTGTTAGTAGACAAATATGTACATTTGATAGGGGATTTAATATGCCGAGACTACACTTTTTTGTTTTATCCTGTGTGCAGACGTTTTGATTATCTCGAAATTTTGGTAGATCAAGCTAAGAGTAAATTTGCCTTGCTCATGTCTTTTGCATGTCTTAAGTCTGTTTTGTGCTGACAAGGTACATGCTATAATTATGTTTATCGGTTCATGATGCTTGACTTCTCATGTAGCATGGAGCATGTTCTGATAATGTGCATTTAATTCACTTCTGGGAGAGAAAGATTTGTTTTCTTTATTCATAGTTAAAGGATTTGCTGACAAGCAAAATTTTTAAAGTAAAGTTGCATATTTTTAGTTTTGTGATCCATCAGCACGGCAAGGATGGAGCTTTGAAGCAAATAAAAAGTAAATTTATATTATATTAAACTTTTTTCATGTTTAGGGTTGTGTTTTTTCGGGCTCCACTTGACCAAATTTGTAAACTAAATGTTTACTGAAGTGTTGCCTGAATAATGTCTGTGGATTGGTCACCTGTTGCTTAATAGGGTATGACCTTATGTAACATCAAGACCGTGGTCTAGTGGTAGAGCATCCGCCTGGAGAGCGGTAGATCAGGGGTTCAATTCCCGGCCACTTCATACCAAAAGATGTCAAAAGATGGTACTTGTTGTTATCCTGCCTCGCGGTCGGTATTAAGGGGCTAAAACAAGGACTGGTCAGCTTAGAATCAGTATACAGTGTCTGATTTGGGTATTCATGTTAAACTGTAGCATGGTATGGGCTAGCACTAGCTTTAGTCCGATTGAGTACAAGCAGCCATACACACATACACATGCATGCAAGTGGCGACATAAGTGCAATAATCTTGGAAGCGACATTAAACCACATGTCACCTCACCGCACCTCATGTAACATCATGGCTAAATGTATATCTTGAACATGCTGTAGTTGTTCTTTGTATTCAAACCCATGAAGATCCAGGATAGAACAGGTCTTCAGCAACCCATGCTTGCCGTAAAAGGAGACTATGTTAAAGGAGACTAATGGGACCAGGTGGTCAGGCTTGCTGACTTGGTTGATGCATGTCATCGTATATTCCATTTGCATGGATCGATGCTCATGATGTCAATCACTGGATTGTCTGGTCCAGACTCTATTATTTACAAACCACTGGTATATAGCTGGAATATTGCTGAATGCCGGAGTTAAACAACAAACAATGTAATGTCCCCAACAAGGTTAGGTAGGTGTTGCAATGTATTGATGTTTCTTTACACAAACGCTTCAAATCATTTGGCACTCTATGATAATGGTATGATAATTGTGGCAGTTCACTCAAGCATTGTATTCATACATGGCTTCTATTGTTACATCAGTGAGTGAAATGAAACCATCAAAATTGATTATTTTAAGAATGACATTAGATTATTACCGTCTTATGTTTCTACGTCCTAAATATATATTCAAAATAAAAAATTATACATATATTGCTTGCCAGTCTTCACATTATAATGAATACAATTTTTATATTTGTTATATATGACAGTTTCAATACAGAAATACACTCGGCTTATAATCCTTATTTTTGAGAACAAGTGGACAATCATCAGCAGCAGTGTTAGCCAAGGTTCTGTGATGTGAATAAGTCCACTATCTGATTATGCTTGACCACATGTGTGTCAATGTGACATGCATGGCATTGTGCTAGACTGACATTTTGTCCCAGAAATAAAGTAATCTTATTTGAAATATATATCTACAAAATAATAAAAATGAAGTACAAACGGAACCCAGAACATTCATTAATTTCAGGCCTAGAGCTGAGGCAATATATAGACTAGGACTCCTTTTTTAATATTTTTCTCCAGTCTGGGAGACAGACTATAGGCTTTGTGCCAGTGAGCCCAACACAGTGGACGCTCAACACATTAAGCATGTTAATGTTGTGATATTCAAATTAGCTACAAGCATTCATGTCTGTTGAACATGGTCACAATGTTCACAATGTGTAGGAATCTAAGTTGTTCCTCATTCCCTTTGCATAATTGTTGCGAGTGCTTCACAGTGCTTGACAGGATGTAACGGATCACTTGCCGATCATGCTCATTGGTCGTATTAGATTAATTCAGAATATGACATGCAGGTTGGCTGAATGTCCCACGAGTGACACTGATTATGTTGTTTAATGTTCAGAAGCCATCACAGCTAGCAGAGCCTTAAACAAAATTCCGTAACTGTCACTTTTCAAAAATAATTTTGAGGTGATTTTAACATGTTTAAGGTTGAAAATTAGCATGATTATAAACAAGTGTGTCATAGATTATTCTAAGTGTTGCTGTTTGTTAATTATGATTACAGGTTGGCTTGTTAATATTCTTATTAATGATAATATGATGATGAAAACAAATGGCATTGTGACACATTTTCTCCATGTTCTTGTGTCTTTATCATAATTCAGGGATTTACAGTATCATACAAGGTCATTTAGATTAGCAACAGTATTAGAGTTATGTTATTCTAAACACTCTTTCAATTTCCCTTTCTAATTTAACTTAACAAGAAGTGCTGTACGTGTTTCCTTGTCAGAGTCAGGTATGCCTGACAGTGTACTTGTCTCAGCTGAAATTGACACTCGACCTAGAGAAATGTACATGCTGTGTGTATGGGAGGTCAGCTTGATTCAGGCAGTCTCAGCCCACCTGTCAAGGTGAAGACACAGCACAACAGATGGGGATTGTTTTGTCTTTCACCAAGTTCACCTGGCATGCCTGGTGATACAGTGCAGTGAGGAAGATAATGATGAGGGCAGGATAATGTTTTTGTCTCCAGATGAGGGCGATGCGAAGGTAAAGATGAGATTTCATCATGTTGATGGTTTGAAGGTTGTCCTGATATTCATGGCATGTTTGATGGGGTTCTTGTCTTCTTTAGGGCCATACAAATTACTGTGTGCTTAGTATGGTAAATGTAGCGAGAAACAACTGACATCTAGAATGTCTTGGATCATGCAGTTGTCTGTTATATGGCTATGCGTCTACAGATATTTCTCTCAGTAGTCATGGTAACATTGAAATGTAATGAGTGTTTATTATGAATATGATGAAGATTATGACGATTTATTTGTTTCTTGTTTACACTGCAATGAGCATGCTCAGCAATTTTTTTGTGGCAACCTGTGAAAAATCCAGTCTGGACCGGCCAATCCAGTGGTTGATATTATGAGCAACCAACACTGTTGGAGTACAAGGATGCACAATCAATCAAGTCACTGAGTCTGACCACCCAACAGATTTAGTTCTAGGGACCTGTATTCTTACCCAGAATCCCCCTGATTATAGATATAACTAGCCTCATGATTTGTCAAAATGAGTAAATATGTGATGTTAATCATGGAAGAATAATTATCATGATCCTTAAGAGAGATCATTCTGATAATCATGTTAATTGTTCCTCGGAACAATATTGATGATGTTCGGACTTGTATAAACGCGTTAAAAATTTATACCAATGTGTATGTTTTAGGTGCTAAGGTGCATTGAATGTTGGCCATGGTTAAATTGGTTAGACAACAGTGATGTAAGGTTTGTTCATTGAAGTGTTCGGTTAAACCCTGAGTTGTGGAACTGACTGTTTCAACAAGTATACATCAAATCTTTGTGGTCTACCTTATACATGTTATACATTTTTAATTTTGTTGTCAGAATCATGATTTTTTGGTGAATACTCTTGTAATGATATTAAATCCGCTAATTTATCATGAAAGAGTAGGTTATCGATGTGATAAACCAATCAGATAAACTTCATTTCACAATTCATTTTTTTTTAAAAAGAGGTTGTCTCGCAGGAACTACTTTCATAAAGTTACCTACTTGCTCAATAACCTGTTTGCCTAACGTGTCCAGTAGAATAGACAGGGTCTCCAGATGTGTGGGGGACTCTGTATACCAATATTTACTCTAGCATTTTATACATGGTTTCTCAAGTTATGTCATTGAGTGAAAGTATGTCTTAAAAATTTGAGTACCTTAAACATGACACTATTATGTGCTCAAGAGATTATGACTATTTGTTTCCATGTAAAACAATATCACAGGTAGGTACAAATAAATGTAATACAGTTTACATTTTATGATATTTTAGAATTAAATACACACCTCACTTGTCTGTGTATCAGTGCATGGAAATGAGTTCTACATGTATTAACAGCTGATTGATA